GAGCTCGGAGCAGCGGGACTTTCAGCTTAGTGACGTTACCCGAAGGCCAGTGAGAGAAAGGCCCCTGGGTGTCTGTCCAGTGGTTCCTGAATGGGTGGAAGGCGGACAGGGCGGGACTGTGCAGCCACCCAGCAGGGCAGGGGCAGGGGCAGACAGCAGGGATTCTTTCATGGCCCCGAGTCACAGTCAGCGCATTTGGCCGGAGCCAGGACACCACGGCCCCAGACAGGATGGGCCTCGTCGTTGTGATATCTGGCAGGAACTCTCCACACCCCCATCAGCCTGGTTACTGTACAAGGATGACTGCCATAACCACACCCTCTGCTCCATAGAGTATTTGTGACCTGACATTAGTCCACTAAGGCTGAAAGAATGTCCATTTCTGCCCCTCTCCCTTCACCTTTATCCCGCTATGTTCGCCCGTCATTAGGTAAATCAGTATATCCACAGTGTCTTCGCGGCTGGTAAGAGGGCAGATCCACAGATCTCTGTCAACAGGGAAGACAGCTTCTGGGTGTGGCCACGGGGTCCAGCCACCGCCCTGTCCTACCCAACATCCTTTTTGATGACTTGGGTGAAGAGACAGACATGCCGAGCCTGTTTAAAGACCCAAACCTGGAAGGTATCGCTCATTTGGTAGATAACGTGCTTTTTTTGAAAAGCATCTCCTTCAGGTGGGATGATGGGTCAGAAACAACTAGATAAAATTCATGTTAGAAAAGAATTCAGTCTCACAACTACAGGGTGGCATTTGAATCCTTCACTGAAAGTCAAGTAAAAGAGAACATTCTGGGGATGTAGTTGACTGCAAGCTTAATATAGGCAAAAGCAGGAGGCAATCACTTTTTTTAAAAGCAGCATTAGGCCCTGGCCGGTTTGGCTCAGCGGTTAGAGCATCGGCCTGCGGTCCAGAGAGACCCTGGTTCGGTTCCCACTAAGGGCATGTACCTCGGTTGCAGTTTATCCCCGGCCCTAGTTGGGTCGTGCATGCAGGAGGCAGCCACTCGATGTGTCCCTTTCACATCGATGTTTCTCTCTCTCTCTCTCTCTCTCTCTCTCTCTCTCCCACTCTATCTGAACAAAAAAATGGAAAAATGTCCTCGGGCAAGGATAAAACTAAAATAAAAGCAACGTTAGGCTGCAATGACGAACGTGGCGCGGTCAGGAGACAGATCGGTTCGCTGTGCCGTGTTGCTCCAGGCAGGGTGGCGTCTCGGTTCTCAGTCCTGCATTTTATCCAGAACTTGAACAATCTAGAGAAAGTTCAGAGAGAATGACTGGGCATCTGGAAGCCATGTCGGCTCAGAGTGAAGTAGATGAAGATGCTTAGCCCCTGAGAAGACTCGAGATAACCATCGTGAGGTAAACTTGTGTGTCCTCCAGAGTGAGTGGGTATTTCTGGATTGTTCCAGACACAGCTAGAACAAAGGGGGAAGGTGTGGGGAGGCTCACTCCACCTAAGCATATCGAACAGGAGCAACTTCCCAGCAGTGGGATGTCACCTGGAGGAACAGGGAGCTCCCTGGAGACACTCAGAAGCTGGATGGCCAAGGACACTTCAGAACAGGTTTATGCATTGGATTCCATCCTCTCTTCCCGCCGGGGTCCTCCGATGCATTAAATATGTGTTAAATGGATCCTACTGCATTTTATCCTGTGGTTTATAAATAAGCCGTGGAAAAGAAGAATGGATCACACGGAGGGAGTTTGCTGAGACCGCCTCGAGGGTGGACAAGCCAGATGAGGACACTCAACGCAAGGGCAACTGTCAAGGAGGGGAATGACTGCCCTTCGCGTGTCGCCCTTGCCTGGTGCCGGTTTTTTGTTTTTTGGGTTTTGTTTTGTTTTTTCTTAAGCCAATTGCTGCTGCTGCAGCTGAGTCCTGGACAACGGGCTCTCCCCTGAACGCCGGGAGGGAGGTCAGCGAGCAGGCGCCCACAGGAGGCTGAGCACACTGGGTGGGCATGTGCGCAGGGCACCCTGGCTCTGCGCTGGAGAACCCTCGGCCTGGCGTTATTCCGACCCAGAAAAGGTGTTTGTTGAAAACAGGAAAGATGATAAAGCCAGTTGCCGATTTCAGGTGTGCAAGTTGCCACGGAAAGCACCTCTGCCTGGCCAGGAGCAGAGCCGGCCCAGGGGCCTTAGACCAGGAGAAACTGCCCTCCCGAGGCCCCTCCCCCCGGGCCCCGCCTTGGGGACTCACCCTCAGCCCCACCGGAAGGGAAGGGCTCTCCTGTCACACACTCTGCCCAGCTGCCCCAGGACCCGCCGAGGCAAAAGGCACTGCCCTCTCGGGAGCGTCACGGGCTGCTTTCAGCTCCTCGTGAGGCTGTGTGATTATGGTGATCGTAGCTTATGGCTGTTTCCTCTCCTCATCTTCTGCTCTCAGATTCTTTAAGGCCTCTCATTAAACATGGTAATCCTGGTAAAGTCAGTCAAGTTTTCATAAGACATGTTTTAAAGCTAACGCAAACCCAGAGTCGACTGTCACTACATCCTGCAGACGCTCCTTCAAACCGGTGAGGCACGTGCGTGGGCAGAGGAGGCGGGGCGGGGCAGGGGACCCAGGGCACACCCACGCTCTTTCACAGGGTTGGAGAACCTTTCTTCACCCTCCCCTGGCCTTTCCCATTTGCACGAAGAGCGCGGTGCGGCTGAACCCCCATGCCCATGGGGAGAGAGAGCATCAGGCCGGGATCGCGGGCCTGGCCTCTCCGTCCTTGCAGGTGAAGCTGGGAACCCGGGTGGAGCAGCCAGTGAAAACCTCAGCCCGACCTTGTAACCGGCAGGGAAACCAGCGGGGAAATTGATAGGTTCTGGCTCCGGGATGACCCTGGAAGGTTCCACACTGGGACAGCCGCAGTTCTACATGTGGAAAGGAGCCCATTGTTTGCATCTGAGGTCATAGCTGGGTGGAGGTCCCTTGGTCGTGACAAGCTGCAGAGCCCTCCACCGTCGCTTTCCTGAATTGTTTCTGGATCTATAGGGCCTTACGAGAAGGATCACGGGAGGGGTGCAGGCGGGGTGGTGGCCACGAGAGCCCCAGCTGCCCTTCAGCTGCTTTGCTCGGGTTTGGTGGCAGGTCGCCTTCCTGTCCATCCTGGCAGGACACACGGATGATGCACAGCGAGCAGCACCTTGTCCCGGCCGGGGTGTGATTAGACAGGCTTCGCTTGGCCCCTCGTGGCTGCCTCCCCTGAGCCCTCCAGATCCCCTGAGCCCGTCCGTAGCCAGCCACATGGGGTGTGACTAAGCACCACCAGCCAGCCGGGGTTAGATGCTGTTGCAAACCTGGCAGCAATATTTCCCCAACCGCATTCTCGTCCCCTGCGGAAATGACCTGCTGGCCTGGCCCACTGATATCAACGCCCCTTCCACGTCCACCACAGTGCAGATGTGGGCTGAGTTAGGGGCGGGCAGCCCTGGCTGAACCCCATCTCTCCACCCGGCGGGCACTCACGTGCCCGATGGCATAACGAAGCCTACTGCACCGAGTGGCTGTTGGCATTAAATAAGGGCATGGCAGTAGTGGCTTCCATTTGGGGGGGCTCATCGTGTTATATGTACTGTGGGCATCTACGTCATGCTGGGCTTGGCCCGAGAGGGACTTCGGTTCTACCCCAGCTCTACCACTGAGCTGGGTGACACAGGCAGCTCGTGGCAAAGGAGAGAGAAGAGGAAATGAAGTGGGGAAAAGTACATAAGGTGCTTAGCACAGTGTTTGTAGGCTGTGTGCTCAAGCACAGTTCTCTGTGCTATCATTTTCATTATTATGACTGTCAGCAGCCCATGCTTACTTCTTGTTACCTTATTTAATGTCCAACAATCTTCTGCAAGGAAGGTATCATAGTTATTTAGTAGTTAAGGATGGGCAGGGGGGTGTCTCATATATGACAATGTGTGTACAGCACATTTATTTATTACAGTGACCAGCTCGATGAACTACTCAATAAATACTAGCTATTATTGTTGGCTTGTTTTTAAAGTTGGCCCAGAGAGCCGGTTTCTCTGCTTTCCCTGGGAACGGAGGGACTGCGGTGCCCAGCAGGCCAGCTCTGCCCTGTGGTTGATCTCCCGGGTCCCCAGGCACTTGCTGGAAGTGCTGGGGTCTGTGGGGCTGGCAGCTGTGGGGAGGCGGCAGTGGGGAGCCACAGGGAACGGAGCACATTGGCAGAACCCAGCATCGCCCACCCTACTGGGGTGTGGAACCCTAAGATGCCTCCTGCTTCCAGACACAAGCCAGAAATAGTTCTCCCCGTGATAGGAGCATGAAATCCAACCCTCCAGATGTAGCGCTCGGCACAGCAGAAGCCTCGTTCCCAGAGACCGTCTCCTCTCAGCTGTCTGCCCACCTGGGCGCTCCGAGCAGGGCAGCCTCCCCAAGGCCACTAGCTCCACCTGCCAGGTAGACAAAGGCTTCTATTTTTTAGCCACAGCCTCTAAGGTGGGGCTGCTGGAGGAGTCAGGAGCAGGTGACGGGGGTGCTTTGAAATCCCAGTGACCAGACCCCTGGGGTGCACGCTCCTCCTGCCGATAGCATTGACAGAAACAGAAGCTGAGAGGTCATTTCCACGGACACAAACGGCTTTTCCCTGGGGAGAATTCAGGTTTTATATATGTACCTTAAGGCAAATGCTCTAAGTTCGTGGTGTTTGTCAAAGACGAGCATCGTAGGAGCCTGACGTCAGAGGTCCACAGCCAATCCCGTGGTTGCTTATGCACCTTGCATGAGATGCTTGCGTAAGTGGCTGCGGTGTAAACGTGCGCATGGCGTGTACACAGTTGCATACGTGGATGCCCGTGCTGCCTGCCTGAGAGACGCCTCGGCGTTCAGTGTATGGTCCGTGTGCAACATACGCTGCAGCCCGCATGTCGTCTGAGCATGGCTTGCACGCCCGCCGCAGCTGTGTCTGGGCAGGGGCTCCCCTGAGCACAGGTCTTCATGGTTGCAGCTGGATAAGTTATTCTTCACTTCCCTTCCTAAAAACACAATTGCCTAGTGCTGCTGGCGCAGAGTCAGAATGGCCGCTGCATTTCACCCCCGAGGTGGCTTCCTTCCGGCAGTGGGTGAGTGACCCCGGCGTCCGCACTCTCTGACCTTCCTGGGGATCCTTCTGCGCAGAAGCTGCTGCAGAATCTGGAGGTGGATCTGTTTGTCCGTGGGCTCGTCTCGCCCACCTCTCCCGTTTCACAGCCTCGCCCCATAGACAGTCGGCGGCACCCGGGTTTTTGGTGTCCGCTTTTTTCCTGCCCATTTTTTGCGCCCATAGTATTTTCTTCCAAAGAAACAAGAGCTGAGGGGCCCAGAGGTGACATTGAGCCCCTTGTCCCAGAGACAATGTACAAATAGTGTCTTTAGGTATTGATCCTGTAATCACTTCTAGACCCCTGGCAGAGCAGAGCAGACAGGCCCACCACCTTGGAAGATGCTCTTACACCCAACAGCAGCATCCTCAGGCGTCATCTCCCAGATGCAGCTCCCGTAGCCCTTCCTCCGTGGCCCGCGGCCAGTCCTGCGGGAACTGGGCAGTCTCACAGCCGGTGTAGTTGGCGCTAATTGGAGTAAAGCCGATCCGCCTGCCCCTCCACAGGGCAGAAGGCAAGGCAGCCACCCATCCGCTGCCCCACGGGGACCAAAAGCATCGAGGGACACGTGAAAAGGGTCTATAGGGAAGTGAGAAGGTTCTCTGTGGCTAGGAATTCCATGAGCCCAAGTTTCTATCCAGAGATCTCTTGAAAAATGCTGTTTGACAGGTCGGTCCCCTGCTGCACTTTTCCAGGTTAGAAATACATGTATGAGAAATACCTGCAGAACCATGTTCCCGGGGGGAGGAGGGGAGAGAAAGGGGCTGGTCCTCTTTGCATATGTGTCCAAACGGACATGGGCATTCGTGGAATTATTCCGCTTCTGGGCGGGTGGGGTGGTCAGCATGCTGGCTGCCTGTGCCTTCAATGCTCTGCCTCGGCGCTGGACGGACCAAGGACCCCAACCAGTGGACATGTTTGGGGTGAATGTGTTTGCAGATGAGAAGCACCTGAAGGAGGGCAGATTTAGCAACCCTCACCCCTGTAGCCATACTCAGGGATCACCTGAGCTTCCGAGTTGGAAAAAAGTAGCATCAAGCTGTTGCCAGTAGCAACACAGTCATGTCCCGGTTTCCTTGTGTCTTTTGACCTTTGCCTGATTTGGAGTAACCAGAGCTGAGATGCCAAAGTACGTTTGCGGAGGAGGAGGAGGAGGAGGAGGAGGAGGAGGAGGAGGAGGAGGAGAAGGGAGGAGGAGGAGGAGGAGAAGGGAGGAGGAGGAGGAGGAGGAGGAGGAGGAGGGAGGAGGAGGAGGAGGAGGAGAAGGGAGGAGGAGGAGGAGAAGGGAGGAGGAGGAGGAGAAGGGAGGAGGAGGAGGAGAAGGGAGGAGGAGGAGGAGGAGGAGAAGGGAGGAGGAGGAGGAGAAGGGAGGAGGAGGAGGAGAAGGGAGGAGGAGGAGGGAGGAGGAGGAGGAGGAGGAGGAGGAGGGAGGAGGAGGAGGAGAAGGGAGGAGGAGGAGGAGGAGAAGGGAGGAGGAGGAGGAGAAGGGAGGAGGAGGAGGAAGAGGGAGGAGGAGGAGGAGGAGGAGGAAGAGAGGGGGAGGAGGAGGAGGAGAGGAGGAGGAGAGGAGGAGGAGGAGGAGGAGGCAGCGGAGGAGGAGGAGATGGAGGAGGGGGAGGAGGAGAGAAAAAGGCAGGCGTCGCGGGGCCACCGGGAGGCACGCTGCCGAGGGGCTTCACGCGGACCGCCCCCCTCGCACCACTCCAGTCCCACGAGGACTTCCTGGAGCTGGGTGTGGAAAGAGCACCTGCCTGTCCGGTCAGAACCGGAGGAGGGAGATAAGAGGGGTCCGGTAGTAAGAGGCAGCATTTCTCCTGCACCACGAGAAACGGCGATGGGAGATGGGAGTGGGAACGGGGGCGGGCGCCTGAGCCTGGGCACTGCGCCACCAGTGTGGGCACGGCTGCCGAGCCTCTGCCCGTCCTGGCAGGCCCACCTGGTTCCAGGTTTGTCCCTGCACTTCCGGAGACCGGGAGGGAGCTCTCCCACCACCCACCAGAGGCCGCCTGTGCAGAGCCCGTGCGTGGAGAGGGATGGGGGACAGGAGCCAGAGATGCCAGGAGCAGAACCAGGGAGGGCTTCCCCGGCCTGGCCGGGACACCCCAAGTTTTAAAATTACTTTTACATTTTATTTTGCTAAAGAGTTCAAGCTTATTTTTTTAAAAATCCTCGCTCCAGGATATGTTTTCATTGATTTTTAGAGAGAGAGAGAGAGAAACAGCGATGTGAGAGAAAAACATTGATTGATTGCCTCCCATACACACCCCGGCCAGGGATTGAATCTGCAGCCTAGTATGTGCCCTGACTGGGAATCAAACCCATGACCTTTTGGTGTATGGGATGCTGCTCCAACCAACTGAGCCACGCAGCCAGGACACCCCAATTTAGGCACTGGTTCCCACTGGAGTAAGGCAGTTCTGTCTGCCCCTCCTTAGAAAGGTAAACATCACACCTGCTTCTCGCCTCCCTGGAACGGTTGCTATGGAGACCCCAGAGGCATTGGCACCAGTAACACAGGGCCACAAACAAAGTGGTGGCTTCACCTGGCCCGTCAGCAGCCACCGCCGGAGTGGCGCGGGTGAACATGGAGGAGTCCTTAGTCCCTCAGTGTTCCCATCTGCCTCCTTTTTTGAGAGCGATGGTCAAATACAGGTAGAGGTTTCTGGGTCTTGAGGCCGACCCGCTCAGCTGTGCCCTGACTCGCTGCATGCTCTCAGGCAACAGGTTCGAGCTCTGTTTGAGCCAGTGTCCCCATCTGTCCCCGGGGGGGGGGGATGGAACACCTGCAGTCAGGGCGGTGTGGGCATTAGCACAGGTGTCGGCGACATGTCTAGTGTGCTTGACACACAACAGCTGCTCAATGTTCAGTCCGTGGTGACTGTCCTCAATGGCAAACCTGTGTCCCTGGTCATGCGACCAACCCACCCTGCCACCACCACAATCTGGGAGAGCTGAAGAGGAGGGCACTTGAGAAGGGCCACCCCATTGGGCAGGAATAAGAAATTCAAAGAGAAAGTCCCTGGGTGATCGGGGGTAGGCTGGTCCTTTCGACTTTAGTTCAGATAGGAGGGCTGGCAACCCACCTTTCCTAAATTAAAATCTCTCAAAGGAGAAAAAAAGCACTGTAGTTGACAATGCAGGCTTGTCGGGAATCTGAATCTGCTGTGGTCCCGGTGACATGTTGTGAGCGTCACTTTCAGAGGACGTGACGGCTGGCAGATTCCACACACGGGAGGGACCACCTGTTCGTGGGGCAGACCCTGGTTCGTAGCACCGTCCTATACGTCAGCTGGTGGGTCGTGGCAGGAGAATCCGTTATTTTTATGTTAAGTATAGTCCTTATTTCTTAAACAGGCTTAGATGTACATGAATGTATATTAATTCTTCAGCCAGTGAACTTTTTTATTAATCGAATTTTCACCTATCTCTCGATTTTCTTATTTGGGTGTTGTTTTATGTTTGTGGCATCTTATTTTTTAAAAGCCCAATAAAGAGAATATTTTAAAACCAAATAAAATGCCCTTTAGCTCCTGAGAGAGATCAGAAAGCTTGGCAAGGGCCCCGGGAGAAATACAGACCCAGGGATGGATCCGGCCCTCCCTGCCGAAGGCGAAACAGCCCAGCAGCCCCGCCCCCCCGCCCCCCCCCCCCCCCGCTCCCCCCCCCCCCCCCCCCCCCCGCCCCAGCTCTGCCCTGGGCCAGCAGGCTGCCGTCTTTGACTTGTCCCATAGCCTGGTTTTCCCATCCATCTGCCCACCTCGCCTCACAAAGTTCAATAGAGGGTGACAGAGATGGAGAGTTGAACATTTTTTTAAACTATTCTATATGAAGTATGGATTTTTCTACCATCCCCTGCCGGAGTTTCTCAGACCTCCAAATTATCCCAAGCAAATGGCACTTTCCCTGATTTTAAACATCATCGAGAAAGGAGAGGCCACCACACTCCTTACACTCCCTTTTGAAATCCTTCCTTTCACTTTGCTCTGAGGAAAGGGGGCGCCAACCTCCAGGAAAGCCACCGATGAAGCTGAGCGGGGCCGTGGCTTCTCCCTGCTGCCGAGCCCACGTCAGGCCCTTCCCTTTCCATCTGGCTCTGGGCTCCTGACTGCTCTCCTCAGCAAGTTCCCCAGCCCTGTGATTCCACACAGACTCATCATTTATAAATGTGAGCGTCATGTGCTGCTAGATGACCTTCAGTCTCCTTGGGAGGACAGCTCATCCCTGGGGCCTCCCATGTCTTGTCTGCTGAGGTCACTTGGTGAGCCCTGTTCAGCAAAACGCAATTTTTCTTTAGCAAGGATGACAATGCCCGTGTGTCCCAACCAGGTGATCAGTTTGAATGGATCGAGGCTAGAAATGCATTCTGTTGCAAATTCTAGTTCCCCAAATAGGAGAACCTGGGTTTCTCCTCCACTGGAAGGGAAGCATTGAATTTAACTGATTGGCAGTGGGGTCAGCCACTGAAAAAAGGGTGGCGTAGGAAATTTCAAAGCAAAATGCGATCACTGGGATGCTGTTCTAGTTTTTTTTCTGTTGAGGTATAACTACATATAGCAAAATGCACACATCTGAAATGTGTGGCTCCGTGAATCCGACAAATGTATGCACCAGTGTAACCTACACCCCATCACCCCAGAAAGTTCCCTCATGCCCCCTCCAGTCAGTTTCGTCATCTCCCCCAGAGGCAACCACGGTTCATTTCTGTCACCATGGTAGCGTTGATTTAGACTTGGTGGCCTTGAGATCTGTAACTTTGGCCTTAGGTCATTTGGGAAAATCAGCAAGAGAATCTCATCAGCAGCTCAGAGGTCTTTACCCCCTCTTAGCATTGTAAAGGGTCCTGCCTGAGCCCCTAGTGCTTGGCTCTGCTGCTCCCAATATACCCTCTGACCCCAGGGCTACCCTCTGAGCCACAGCCCTTCTCCCAGCTAAGAGTTTAGCACCAGTCTCCCAGGTAAGTGGCAACAGGCCTTGGTAACCCGGATCGTGCATGTTTGTGGATTAATATCTGCAGGTACAATGCACCGAGCATGTCAGTCAGCATGTTGATTTCCTTTAAAGCGCTGCCCAAAAGGGAGCTATTCCTTGCGTGCCTTTCCTCTTAGCAACAAAGGATCCCATGACCACTTTCGTGCAGGCTTCTAGCCGTCAAGATGGCCACAGAGCTAAAATGATTAGCCAGGGAGGGCGTTGAATGTGTAGGTGTGAGCGAGCCCAGCACTGAGCCCGTGGTCCATGAAACTGAAGGATCCCACATTCCGCTGGGTTGAACTTTGCCAGAGGTCACGAAGGTGAAAAGCGCTTCGTCTGTATGCAAAGCTTTGATGTGTCTGGAATGTACCTTCCGCAGCTCAGTCCTCAATCGCTGTCGATTTTTCACTTGGACAAAGGCTGCCTGCTAATGGCTTCTCCCGCCACCTTCAGCTGCCTCACTCAGCCCGCCAGGGGCCCTGTCTGAGCGGGCGGCAGCATCCCGGTACCAGGTCCCGTTCCCAGCTGACCGGTGCTGAGGAACATCCCACATTCAGACCCCGAAACAACAGCTTCCCCTGGGACTGTGAGAAATGGCAGGCGGAGGCAGGCCTCCCCTCCTACGTGCGGCCTCTAGAAGCGCCGAACTGGAGGCAGGGTGGAGGGGAAGAAGGGAAGAGCCCCAGAAGGCATGGGCGGGGCTTCTCCTCTCTGGGCTGCGCAGCAAGCCCCTAGCAGCACAGACCTTGAGACAGCTCATCTCTGAACACAGGTAGCCTCTGCTGTCAGGTTTCACTTTGATCCCTGGGAACCACAGGAATCTCAGCTCTTCAGAAGGGAGGCAGCTGCTGAACTAGAGCGATTGCAGGATTTCTTCCCCGAAGCCCAAGGCCAGGCATCTACCCTGCCTGCGTCCTGCATGAGTAACCACCTTCCAGCCTCACCCGGGAGGTCACTGTGTAGAAGACAGATTGCAGCTGGGCTCAGCTGTGCCACCCCCACCCCCCACCCCACCCCCCGCCAGCCAACCCGAACCTCCGTGACCTCCTTTAGCAGCAACTGGCATTTGGCAAATGTGTGAGCGCAGGAGTGGGGGAAGGGAGAGAAATGCCAAGGAGCAACCACTTGGACTGTGTGTTCTCTAGGCCGGTCAGCTGCACCCCCTGACCCGAAGTCCGGAGAAACAGAAGTAGCTGAGGGGAAGGGGAGGGGCAGAATTGATGGGCTGGCCACAGGTCCTTGGAGTCATAGCTGTGAAGCTGAGCTCCAGGACTGAGGCAGGAAGAGATTAATTAGAGGCTCCAAGCCCAGCCCAGCCCACCCCATAGAACTGGGAGATACGGAGGATGGGGGGCCTCAGGGTCAAATTCAGCTAAAACAAATAGTCACACAGTCCTCCAGAAATAGTCTCCAACCTCCCTCAACCCACAGCCCCCTCTCCAGCCCAAATGACCTCACTAATGAGAAAGAAGCTGTAATGAGGGTTTGGATGCCTGGTAAACCTCACCTCCTTTGTCTCTGGGCTTTTAGCATACCCCTGGACACAGACTGTCAGGCGGAAGCGTCGTGATTTTTTTTTTCATGTCCTCCAGCTAAATCAGAGCCCCAAACGCTGTGTGACCAAGCTGGAACATATGTATTTGGGGACATACTGTGTAATTTGGGGCCCTGGTGGAGGAGGGGTGGAAGTGGTGGGGAGAGGGGAGCCGTATTTGGCGTGTGGTTACTGCAGCGACGGGGGGGGGGGGCAGGCAAAGTGCCTTGGAGTCTCTTGTGTGAGCAGGGATGGGGTAGAGGTTTGTTAGAACTCTCGGACCACGGGGGCCTGGACTATCAGCCCCACATATCCCCAGAGAGGAACTCACGCGCACGCACACAGACACACACACACACACACACACACACAACCACGCTTTCTGCCTTCAGGCCTGCGTTGAGAAGGCACAATCCCAGGTGAACCAAGTGAATGACAAACGCCTGGAGCCCCATCTAAGAAAGGGCAGTCAAGGAGACTGTCGGCTGAGTGTGCCTTGGAATCGGGCTGGGCGAGCCCCGGAGGGCCGCCTCCGCCCTCTGCCGCCACCGTAGCTCTAACCCACTCCACACAGAGGGGCCGCCACCTGCTTCCCGTGATTTGCAAAGACTGGCACTGTCACCCGCTAGGATTTGGTGTTTTTTTAATCTGATTAAAAATCCTTAGCCTAGTATAACTGTATCCTGCTACAGGCTAAGGTTAGTGTATTTCAAGGTTCCGATAAGGTTGGCGATGGGGAGGTTTTGTGTGCGTGTGTGTTAGTGTGTGTGCGTGCGTTTTAAGATGCGGAGCAGAAAGGAAAAGCGTGTCTCACTCCCGACAGTGAGGAAGGAGAGTGACGACAGGGGAGGAAGGAGAGGTAGAGCAGGAGGACAAAGCAGACCCCCCAACAGCTCCTGAGTCAGTTCCAACCCCAGACAAGCTCCCGGCCACGCCATCAGAATTCTCAGAGTCAAGCTGCCGTGTCCCTCCGTGGAGCGCTGAGCCAGACGACACATTGTCCTGCGCCCAGCAAAGTCACGGCCTGTGTCATTGGTTGGTTAGATATGCCCATTATCCATCAATTCATCAATCAGCAGGTTTATTGAGTACCCCACCAGGCTTCACAAGCCTGATCAATGTTTTTAATTACATCCAGCTTACACGCAGCCAAGCCCAGTAAACAAACCGAGCCCTCGCCCCGTTGGAAATGCACAGGAGGAACTGCTGGTCCTCGCAGGAACGGCTGCCGTGCTGACGAGCCTTCTGTGCCGCCTCGTGCAGGGTGGCGGTGTCACTGACCCCCTGTCAATAATGGGCGGCTCTGAGTGTTTTCTCGACACAGTGATCAATGGGCTTGGGCCCAGCCACACTGGATCCCCTAGGCCCCTGTCCAGCGCTGTGGATTTCTGAAGAGGGGGCAGGAAATGGACGCAGTCACCTCCTCCCAGGCATGAGAACAACTGGCCTCTCTCAGGCCCTCTGAGCCCCTTCCACCAGGCCTCACAGTCCCGTTCGTTTTCTTACGACATGGGTTGTAAGGCACGGGCTTGCAGAACTCCTGAGGCGGAGACCCTGGGTACCGCAGAGAGGGGGCCGAGAACCCAGGAGATGGTGGGGTGCCTGTCTGGGGCCCGTGGTGGCAGCTGGTCGCCCACTCTCCGGGTCGCGACGAACACCACTCCCGTCGCCCAGAACTGGGTCGTCGGGAGGGCGCCTGTGTCTCTCCTGCACTGCACACAGGCTCCCAGGGTCTTCTGCATTGAGACTGCTGGTTCCTTCATTAGTTTCCAAACACCCAGATCCTTAGCCCGCATCTGTCTGGGTCAGGCCACCCTCCCTGATCTTGCTGCTCCCCAATCCACCTTTTCCTTCCTCGCTTGAATGAAATCAAGCTCAGGGAGAGCCCACGGGCCTGAAGAGCCACTCTACCTCAGAGCTGAAATGGCTGGTTTGGGGTGAGTGAGATTCCCACACCCCAGAAAGAGCACCAGCAGCGCACCCTCCCCCCAGCCTGCCCCAGACCCCTGGTGGTTCCAGCTGCTGCGGCTCAGGCTCCCAAACCCAGAGAGCAAAGGGGTCAGTGCGCTGAGTCGTGCAACAATTAATTCACCTGTCTGGCTCTCTGTCTCTGTCCCTCTGTGTGTGTGCACCTGTGCGTGCCTCTCTGTCGCCTGTCTCTGCAGGGAAAGTCGCTGGCGGGCAAGCGCCTCACCGGCCTGATGCAGTCCTCCTGACGGTCCCCGCCGCCGCAGGGCCAGGGCCCAAGCCCGAGGAGCCCGAGGACCACACGGGCAGGAGGCGGCGCTCCACATCGGCGGACAGAGTTTCCTTCCGGGGAGATTCGGTCACTGTGAAAGAGAAAGAGTGAGGGCGATGAAGGCAGACACGGTGGGGCAGCGGGAGGACCTGAACACCTGCGGAGCCGGGGGTTGGCCCGGTAGCGGCCGTTTACAACCCTTCCATCCTTGTACAGTAGCAGTGCGCCGACACCCCGTCCTCTAAGAGGTCCTTGTCCCTAACTCGTTCAGGGGAGAACGTTTTGTGGGATGTGGTGACCATCACTTGAGATATACTCTTCTTATCGTCACTCCTCCTACCACCTGGGGGGATCACACTATCCAGCCCACGAAGAAGGACCAGCTGGCCCGAGGACACCCTGTTACACCCCCTTCCCCCACGGTCTCTGGTGCACCCACAGCACCCACCACAGTTACAGCCACCGTGTCCCCATCGCCTCCCGCCTCCCCATCTTTGTGGCCACCTGCCCCCACACAACACGCCCCGAACACGGCGTCTGCACAGAGCGACCTCAAGGATGGCGGGCCCGCAAGTTCCCCCGCCCCGGCCAGCTTCTGGGGGGGCGTCCCCTGCGCGGCTGCCCGCTGGTCCTGTCCACCGTCTCCAGGGCCCACAGCAGAAGCTCCAGTGTAGATGAAAGAGCTTGTGGCGGAACAGATTCTGACCATCTCTTTAAAAATTTATGATTTCCTAACTTATTGGTTTTGCCCCTTTTTCCTTGGTTTGTTCCCTCGTGTTTTACGCGAAATAAACATAGCCATGAACTCAGGGTCCCTGGGGATCCTCCCCTCCATCAGCCCCAGGTGGAAGCTGAGAGGGTTCCCAGCAGGGTCTTTTCTGGGTCCAGGGCTGGCAGCCACCCACTGCGGCGTCCTGCCGCCCGGCCAGGTCCTGCTGGCAGGTCTCAGTGTGAGTGAAGCTGGAGGGGAATCTGCTACAGAGGGACCAGGCCAGGGCCAGATGGGCCTCTGATGAGCCAGCAGAGGCACCCACCGAACAGTGTGGACCATCAAGGGAAACGCAGACGGAAAGCAGCACCCACGGAAACCCGCAGCAGGTCCGCTTGCGTCCCCCTCATTGCGTCAGAATGCCCATCTGCCCGTGAGGCCCTGCGTCGTGCAAGCGGAGCGCTGAGTCGGGAGCCTGACGCACAGTATGCGCTCAGCCGACGGCAGCCACGGGACTCCCACACCCTGCAGGCACGGCCGTGTGAAGCAAGGTGTTTGTGAGTTCAGACACTCACTCCCCCATCTGCTATCACTATCCTCCTTTGATCTACGTTAGGCCACAGGTGAAAATTCTGCCCTGGCAGTGTGTGAACAGAACATAGCAGCGAGAAAGCCATCCCAGGTATTTCTCTACTCCTGCTGGCAAATTCCCCAGCTGCTGACCACGGCACACAGCTTGTTTGCAGACCCTGCCTCCTGGGGGCTCCCGTGGCCACCTTCCCAGTCCCCGCTCCTGTGCCATGTCCTCTGTCTGATTCTGCCCAGCCTGTCCCCAGGGTACCAGCCTTCCACTCATCCCAGCAGGGCCCCGTGGGCGTTGGGAGCCTTGGTTCTTGACCACCATGCCTCAGTTTCCCGTACTGGCATCAGTTGCTCTCTCTTTGAGGTACAGACTGGATGACATGAGTTGAGTCCTCAGAGTGGCTCCAAAGGTAGTGTTGCAGGCCCAGACCCCATGTGACCTCAGCACAGAGCCTGGCACTTGGCAGGGATGAGGTAATGACTGAAGTGAAGCCCCGTCCCGTGTTGTGGGGCCTTTTGAGCCCCCCTTTCCCCCTTTTGCATCTTGCTTTTCCCAGAGAACCAAATTGTCGTTAAAGTTCCTCTGCACCCAACATTGCCCAAGGGACGCTCCTCCCTGCCAAGGGCCCCCAGTCTGTGCTGACATCAAGGCACAGGGGGTGTGGACAAAGAAAGTTCCAGAATAACAGGTGCCTCTGTGCCCTCATATATCCTGGGCCAGGGCCTGGAGGCTCCCTGCTCTTCCCCATGGCTGTGGCCAGGGCAGGGCTGGCTTCCCCGGCCCCGTGGCTGCTGTCCCTGCACGATGTTGGCCTGAGACTCAGCCCACCCTGGAGGTTCCCAAAGGGCCGCCTAAAGCCAGGTGGGCTACAGCCTCGAGATGGAGCAGGCCAAAAGCTTTCCAACACCTCTGGGGACACGCAGAGGAGAGGCCCAGCCAGCAGGCTCAGTGGAAGGGCACTTCAGATGAATTCAAACCCAGAGCAATAACCCCCTCATCCCGCCTCCCAATCAGGCAGACTCAGCCCTGTAACCACCACCACACGCTCCTAGTAGATCACAATAAAGGGTAGGATGGAGCTGCTCCGCCAAAGTCGTCCAGTCCAAGGTCAGCCTCCTCTGCAGACCTCAGCATGAAAGTACACTTGAGAAATCTGGTCTTGGCCAGTTCCTCATTGGCTTGGTCTACACAGCCAAAAATTCAGACCAGATTAGACTTTTGAAGGCAGTTCTGCAACAGAGCATGCCTCCCAAAGCTTCCTTAGCTCCCCTGACTGGGCCCGTCTCTGGGCCCGGGACCCCTCCCACTAAGGGCTCATAGGGCAAACGTAATGTTGGCAGCCCCAAGCATTAGGACAGCCTTAGAAGTGACCACCCACCCATCAGGACAGACACACAGACGGCCAGCAATGGGCATCTGCCCGTGTGGGAAGAGTAGGGCTTGTAGGTTGGCACACGTAAATGCCCGGCAGCGGCCAGACCTGCCCTACGCAGCAGGACCTCTGGGAGAGGAGAGGGCTCTGCTCTTCCAGAAAGTGATGCTTTGGTCTGCTGAGAAGGCGTCCTGTGCCGAGGAACACAGCAGGGCCCCGCCCACCAGCGCAGTCAGCTGACCGTGCTCTGGGCCCGCCGCGGTCAGGCACAGCCAGCTCCCAGGAGAGCACCCCCACCACTCTGAGTTGTTTCTTGGACCCGTGAACACCTGGAGACATGCTCTGGGGTCTTTTCCCCGGCAGGATTGCTGCTGTGTTCAAACTACCTCATCAACAGGAACCGAACCAGGAGCCTGCCGTCCACCTGGCCCCTGGGCTGGTTGTGGAAGTTGATGCTTTTCCTAAAATGTACCGCTCCCCTTGTGCTCCAAATGCATGGACTTCGAACGCCACCCCTGGGAACCTTTCCGGAAGCCGGAAAGGGTGGAGGGCTGTAGGTGTTTAGGTCTTGCAAAATGTCCTGGAGGGAGGTGCTCCAAGGCCCAGGAGCTGGGAAGCCCCGGAGTGGAGGAGACCACCTGCCACCAGCTTCCACGGGGTTGGCTGAGTCGTGGCAAGGACTATGTGGGGCACAGTCCGATAGTGGCCAAGTGAATCCCTGAAAACTCACCATGGGACCCTCTGAAGAGAGGCCTGTGCTCATGTAACCATGGCAACAGCAGACGCCAGCAGCCTACTCATTAGTGCCACCCGGTGATAGGCATTCCCTGGGCACAGCCCAGGGACCATAACGTAGCAAAGTAGCAAATGTAGCAATAAGAGGCCCAGGGCCATAAAGGGACAGGATCCAAATGACCCAGCCTCGGCCCCCTTCCCGACCCGGCGAGGGCGCAGAGCCAGGCGCTGTCAGCTGTCTGGGGAGAGAGGCCTGCTCCACGCCCAGGCTCCCGTCTGTCTTCTCTGCCCACTCACCGCATGATCACGGACACGTCGGAATGGCCTTCTCGTAGTGCATGTGGTTCTCAGTAGTTTATTTTTCTGGAATTTGGGGATTGGACCCCAGAACCAAACATGCTGGTACAGTCTGAAAAATAAATGACTTGAATCCACTATAATTCAGCTAACTCTGTGTGGCTCCTTGGTTTGGGGGTTCCTTGGGCAGGATGTACCTGAAAATCTACTACCTCTCCCCACTCTTCACCCTGCCCCATTAACACATGCACGTGCGCGCGCGCACACACACACACACACACACAGCCCGAGAGCCAGGGAACTCACTCCCCGGCAGGGTGCTGGCCAGCTCAAGAAAGCCCGATCTCCGGGGTATGGGGCTCACCCTGGTAGGCTGGGACAGTTGTATCACCAGAAGCTGAAGTTCCTGGTTCTGCCAGGGTCTCCTTGGCTGGGGTCTCTAGGCCCCATTGTCTGAGCTCAGCCACAGAACCCAGTGGCCCGACAAGCAGCAGTGGCCTGACACGGCTCTGCCATTCTTAAACCAAGGCCCAGGTCAAAGTCTGCAGCCTACAGATGGTGCTCCTTACACCGAGTCTCGGTCCCCTGAGTGACAGACAGTCTCACCTCCCACTAATGCCAAAGCAGTGGGACTTCGAGAGCCTGGAAGTCAGGCTGACAAGAGGAGGAAGAGAACATGGCAGAAAACAAAACAGCACAAAACAAAAACCACAGTCCTGTAACGATGACATGAGGCTGGCTCCAAGCTGCTGGCCCAGTGGCAGAAACTTTGCTCCTGAAAGTAGAAATGAGCTCAGAGTGTGGGGATGGGTCTGCAGGCACATTTGCATGAAAACCAACTTGTCTACCAACACCTGGGCCAAGTCCCAGAGCAGGACTTCCTGTCCCACAAGGTCAAGACCAAGGTCACACCTGTAACAGCACCTGAAATGTCAGGTCCGTAGCATATCCCTCTGTCAGGTCCCGGCCCACCACAAAAGAACCGCGCTTCCCTGTCTTCCGTGATTGTGATCGTGGCCACCACCTCCAGGGAACCTGGAGCTCCTCCCACCCAGTCGAGCCATCTGGCTCATTTCCAGAATCTTTGTGTAGCAGGCTGTCACTGTGTACATGCGCGGTCCGGCTGACCACCAGGGACAGAGATCTGCTTCAGGCCAGGGCGGAAGCAGGGATTTGAAGCTGCCAGTTGTAACACTAAGAGCTGTGCCCACCCGAGGTTGTCTGAGACCCACCCTGATTGCTTCCTCTCTCCCCACAGGCTTTTGGGGACTTCTAGCATAAAGAGCACAAGTGTGTCCTTTCCCGCGGAGCCAGCTTCCCGCTGCTCATTGGTCCCAGCCTGCAATGGACTGTCAGGGCCTCTGCTGGGTGTCTCTGATCCTGCTTTTCCTGGGGTGTGGCAGTCTCTAAACTCTGGCTTAAAGAAGCATCCAGGCCACCCTCTGAGGGGCATGTCCCCCTACTGGACCACAGGGCTATGCCGACATGCTTTCCCTCCCCCTCCCTTCCTGGGCAGAAACACCCCCAGGAGCCCCCGGCTCCCCTGGCTGGGACTTCCTTTAGTGCCCACAGGGCAGGTCACAGGATCTGCCCCAGACCCGCACACAGAGAGCAGGCCTCCCTGGCCATGGAGAGGGGTCCGGCTTATTTTACAGAGGCTGGGG